AGTTGCTTTCTGTGTGCACTAATGTTTGCATCTGACTAAAACCCAGATGTAGCAAGCCTTAAGAACTACTTCTCTGTTTCTTTTTGGGTCAGTACGACTGGCGAGGACAAATGGTCCCATCCAAAAATGGGATGGCAGAAGTCCTGTCCATAGGAGGAACCTCAACACAGCTCACTTCCAAGGTAGAAGGGAACCAGATACTCAAGGAGGGAGTGAGGCTGCAGCTGTATGGGCAGACACACACGGTGTACACCCACCACTGTCCCTGCCACGGCACAGACCAGCTCCGCAGCAGGCTGCTCTCCATGCTCATACAAGTGAGTATCTGCCAAAAGGGCTCTTAGAAGGTTCCTAGATATTATGGCAGCCCTTTGTACCGAATGACAGTTGCATAAGGTGTAGCTGCAAAATGTCAGTATGTGTCTTTAGGAGAGAGTGTTCACATATATCTAAAAAAAAGCCCAGGGCATTTGTCAAACATGCTCCTCGATGTCTGAATCAATGCCCTCCAAGCAGACACAAAGGCACCTGTTCCTGGGTTTCCTACCAACAGGATCTTTGGCTCGCTACTTAATACAGTGGAGCACAAAATCCCTCTCCAGAGGTGCTAAAATTGCACTCAGGGTAGAGACCTGGATATCCTGCAGAGACCTGCTACCCACAGTTATGCTGGGGAATTCCTAGAGACAAAGAACACTCATTCTTAAAGGGCTTCTTCAGCCCCACACAGCTTTAGTAGGCAAGCAGCCAACTGAGAGGGGGCTGGACACCTGCATGCCACCCAGGTCATGCTTGCTAATGGAGAGCATGGGGGCTAAAGCATCACAAAACAGTGAATTACCCATGCCCGGCTGGCTGCCTAATGCAAACAGGATCACCTTGCGTTTCAGAGATCAGGCTTGTGAAAATGGGCAAAACAGGAACCGCTTGGAAAGGAGACCAGAACGGCCTTTCAACTAGAAAGAGTACCTTAATTCATTGAGCAGGTAGGGCCATGATTCCCACAAGCCAGGACTCCTCAGCCTCCACAGGAGATCCAGCTGCTGCAGCTCACTCTGAACTCAGCAGGAGTTGGGATCCCGCTGCATCAGTCTGGGTCTTGCAGTTGAATAGCTGAGATAAGGTTTGACAAACCTTTTGCAGCATGCCCACTCAATTACAACATGGTGTTATTCTAACACGGTGTTAGAAAAAACAACTTTTCCTCATCATGTGCATTTTAACCATAAAGCCTTGGGATGCCAACTTCCTCTCTCACTACCACTGCCCTTGTTTTATTCTCTCTCTAGGAACAAGGAAGTGCTAAAACTGTGCCTAACCCCTGCTGGCCCCTCAGCTACTCCCAAGAAGTGCAGTGGAACTCAGTGCACACAGGGCCTTGTACTGTCAGTGATGACACTCTGGATATCCCCAACCCTGACCAGGTTTTCAACATCACTGGCACCAGCAATCCCTCTGCCTGCGTGAGACTTATGCAAAGACTGCTCAACTCCTCCTCTTCCTGCAGCTTCCTCAATAATTTCCCCAAAAGTGCTGCCAAGCCCCTCCAAACCAGGTTTCTGGTGGGTTCTCATTTACTCTGGGGTAGGCAATTAGTATTGGGAACACAAGAAATGGGACCAGTTCAGTCATTAATAAATAGAGAGGGAAGTGCCACAGCGTCCTCTACTAGTGGGCCAGTGCTTTGCTTAGTGCCACACAAGCTCTCTTGTCCTCTCCCCATCATTGGGGTCAGGTGTTCAAATAAGAACCACAGGCTTCCCAGCAACAGCAATGAGAAAGCCTTTTCATTCCATGTTCCAGCAATGTCTGCTTGTCAGACTCTGGGGCTTCACTGAGCCATAAAGGAGCTCACATGATCCAGCAGGGATATAGGGCAAGGTGGGAGCCACGCTGAGCAGGACCTTCTATACCAAGTCCTTGGTGAAACAAAAGATCCACTCCCACTTTGAGCAAACCAGCTTTTGAGCAGGATGCTCTACCATCCACATGTTTGTATCAGAAACCTTGCATCTATCATTAGAATGTTAAGCCAGGACCAGTGCAAGATCCTAAAGACAGTGAATTTCAGAGGATGCATCCAGAGGAAGGAAGTGACAATTGTTTTTGCTGCCATTATAGGTGATTCCTGAGGCCATGGATTTCCTGAGGAAAACCACATCCTCTCCTGACTTGGGTCAGGTAGTCAACAAGCTTTGTGAAATGTCTGTTAAAGAGGTAAGTGGAATAATAGTGGGAAGCCAGGAACCTTTTGGTAAAGCCCGCATGGGTCAAAACTAACAGAGTTATAAGTCATTATTAGTTATTTTCCTTCCTCTCCCATCTCAGCTGCTACCCTTACACTTACTTTTAATCACATGAGAAGCCACAAATACCTTATACTGCACATAAAGAAGTAAGCAGGAAGCCTGTCTACTCACTCCTGCACATCACTTTGATCTTCCTGTTATCCTCTGTTCTTTCAGTGTAAGGAACACATCTGCTCAGACTCCAACGACTATCCCACTTCATCTGGGCTCATGCAGACCAAGCCGTAGGGTCTCCAGAAGTTCTTCCTCAGCTGGTGTCTTATGAGGGCACCTTCATTTGAAGCATACAACAACCAGACATCCTTTCCTTACATCTAAACTAGCAGGGTTTGCTAGTGGGGTAGCAAAGTCCCATTAGTAGTTCCCTAAAGTTTTCTCTTTTGTTTAGGAGGGAAAGGCCTTGTTAGTGATCCTGCTGAGAGAAAGGCTGCAGCATTAGCTTAGCCTAAGCATAGAGCAGAAAGTCATATCAAGCAGCTGATCTGCAATACAGCTGTAGGAGACCTGGCTGCCAGTTCTGAAGCTCTTCAAACTGCCAGGTCCCTTAAAGAGATTGGGAAAAAGGCACTGAGAGGTGGCACTGGTCTCCAGACCACAGACCAGCATGAAGGACAGGACTAAAACCCCCTCCTCCAGTCCTGCAGCCAATTCCAGACAGAAGGGGAGCATTTTTAACATGCCTGACATTTAACTACTGAATATTTACTTTTTTTTCCCTCCTTTTGTTCTTCCTCTGGAAACAACACCAGCTAGTGAAGGAGACCCAGACAAGCCTGGATGCACTTGCTGATTACTGCATTGTATCTGTCTTCATCTTTCACCTCAGTACAAAGGGATATGTTTTTGACTTCAATCAGTCTGTTGAGGCTGCATTCCAGGTCAGTTATCTACTGTGTGGTACATCCAATTACAAGGGCGAGATGATTTCAATAAAGTCAGACTGTTTCCAGTGTTACAAGACCTAACCAACAAGGTTTTTCCAAAAATATATTTTTGCAAAATCAATTCACATTTGTTATAAATAAGAAAGAGTATCAGAGAGCTAGGGATTCCACTCATGAAAAATAGATGGGTCAAAAACTTATTTGAAGCAATATTATCTTTAAGAATCCATGTCCAAGAAGCAAGTGAAGGAAGATTGCTTTGTCATCACTTAAGGCTACAGACAAAGCTTAGATAATATTTCCTAAGCCAAAGCATTCTGCCCTATGTCTGCAATCACCTTTAAATCAATCATGCTTTACAGCTGGTGAAGGCAGCTGCTCCAGGATCTGGAGCTCCTTAGAAAAGCAGGATTTGATTCAGGTCCTCACACTCACAAAATAAAAGCTTACTCTTTAATCTCTCAGCTCACTAATAGAAGTGTGACTCCCCTCACATGTGAGCAAGGCAGCATCAGTAATAGCAGTTCAACCACATAGCAATCACCAGCCAAATGACAGATAATAGGTTAGGTCCAGGGTCCATCCAGCAAACTCAAACTGAAAAGCCAGAAACAAGTGCCCTACAACATCAGTCTGAGGTTCATTCAGCCAATAGAGCCACAAACAAAACTATTTACAACAGAGACCCACCAGGGAAAATCAGGCAGAGAGCAGGAGTAAAAACAGCACACAGGTACACCTCAGCTCAGAAAAGAAAGAGCTGCTCAGGGCAGAACTTAAATGGAGCTCCAAGGGCAGAGGAGGTGAGCTCCAATGGAGCAGAGGGGGTGAGTGGAAACCTTAGGTGAGGCTGTTTGGGGCAATTAAGGTGCAGCAGTGCACTCAGAGCCCTAAGAGAGGAAGAGCTGCACATTTCAAGCCTAATCCACAGATCAGTCTCAATTAAAGCATGCAAGGTCTTAGGCCTGTTCACAGAAGCACAGCTGTTCTACCCAGTTTTTCTTCTGATCTCTTCTCCTTTTCCTGTCAATAGATTGGTGACACATCATCTGTCTGGACTCTTGGATACCTGCTGAATCTGACAAACACCATCCCCCAGGACAGCCCAAGCTTCCTCAAGGGCATTGACCCAGGTGTCTGGTCTTTGCTCCTCATCCTCTTTGTGGTGCTGCTCACTGGCTCGTTCATGCGCATCTCATACCGAGTGATGGTCAAGGAGAACAGCTTCAGTAACAGGAACAGCAGTGTTTTTGATGACAACTGACTTATTTCAGGACTAGATTCTCTTGCCAGAGGGCAGCCAACAGAGTATATACAGAAATCACACAGGTGAAAATCCCTGGAGGATGCAGGTGGTTCTCCTGCAGGACTCGAGAGTCTCAGTACCTTGTTTCAGTTTGCAACCATTTGCACTACTGTACACTGAGAAAACACATTCTGCCATGCAGGAAGCCTGAGGTTCACAGTGGATGACAAGCTATACGTTCTCCAAACAAGACCAGCTTGCACAGATCTTGCTTGGGCTGCAACTGCAATTACTTGTGTCAACCTAATGAAAACATTCCCTTGAGGAGGAGGCGGGCCAGGAGCACTGTTGTAAAGTTAATATTGAATAATCCTGTCTAATTAGGAAAAGTTATATTTAAAAAGACACTCTGTCCTCTTCTTTGCCCACAAGAGAGAAGATGCCTGCAACATACCACTAATGGAGACTGGAACAGCTTTAAGATACAATCAGAATACATCTGCCAACTTGCTTGTACTCTCCAAGGAAGAAAACTTGTATTTTCTTCCTGCCACCACTCACCTGTCCTTCCATCTCGGTGACAGTATCCATGTATCCCACCCAGTGAATGCTCCTGCTGGCTGAATCTTTCAAAAGCAACAGGTTTTGGTCTTGCTCTGTACAAAACATACAGAACATCAAAGGAGAAATCAAGGGCACAGACACACAGCTGAGTTCCCATCTCTCAGCCAAGTCATGGTAACTCAGGGTTAAAACTATCAATTTAAACACTTTAACCAGGATTTATATTAAGATATTTAATCTCACACTTAAAATTGGGTGCATGATGGCAGCTCACTCATTTGCACTGAACCACTTGTCTCCCTGCCCCTGAAATGTGATACCTAACACTGTCCTTCAGGCAAGAACAGACTTAGGAACAGCAGCTTTCCCAGTTGTCAGCCCAACGACTTTCATGTCAGACTGTGACCAAATCGACTTTACAGTCCAACATTCAGGATTCCTCTGGGACTTGGCAGCTGTTCCAGCTTCTCTGGTCTGCTCTGTTCTTCTAACAGGAGCTGCTGTACAATTCTCCACGTTATTGCGAAGAAAATGGATGAATTCAGACAAATGCTGACCTTTGACTAAAGCACTTTTAGAGTTCACCTCTCAGAATATTTCAGAGACTTAAACACACAAGTTGTTTAAAGCCCAAGGCACAAGTGCCTTCAACTCACTGCAGACCACTTTAAACAGAAATTTAAATGCTCACAGATGCAATGATTTGCCTTGCAGGATATTTAAAGCTACCATGGCACTCAAATCCTTTCAAACCTGGTTATTAATCCCTTGTGTTCCTAATTCACATATAGGACAACCCACCCCTCCCACCCCCACCTATTAATATTGGTGTGTTCATAAATTTTCAGGCCAACTAATGAAGGTCTGGAACCTGTCAGTCAAGTTTGGAGGGGTGTGGAAACAGACTGAAACAAGCTTCATATTCATTTCTTTGAGTTGCAGGTTAGATATTTTTAATTATATCATGTTATTAAAGATGTTTGAATAGACTGTCTGTGTTATTTTTGGCAAGAGATCAAAGCAGGGGTTTTATTGTGAATACAAACTGTTTCAGAAGAGAGGATGGGGGATGCTGACTTTGCCTCTGTTTACTCAGGAGTTGTTATGCCGTGTACTTTTGGGGTACACAATGAGAACCCCTGAAGGCACTTTCTTCCGAGTGGCAGGGAGGCAGAAAATGACTTTAGATAACTTGGCTGCTGGTATTTAGTTGATGAGAGACACGTCAACATCTTTGATGTGTTCTTTGCTCAAACCATCTGAAGAAGGAAGAGGAGGGATTCAGACAAGCCTGCACAGAAGAAAAACTGAGGTTACTGGGGAGTCAGCAGCACAGGGGAAATCCTCAAGACTTCAATCCTCCTGCTTCTGAAAATGCAATCATAAAACAGCTCCCATACACTGGTGGTAGCTTTAGTCTCTCCTTTGCCACCACTCTTCCTCCAAATACAGCCACTGCTGTCTTCAGCTGCAGGTTGATGGCTTGTATGTTGTGGTACCAGATGAGAGTAGACAAATTTGTTCTCCTACAACGATTGTGCTGCCCCAGCAGTCCCAGCAGTCCCAGCAGCCAGGGTAAACCAGGCTTCAAATGGGCAGTAGTAAAAGTGCTATCCAGCAGATATAAACAATTACAGGTGTATTCATTAGATACTGAGCTAAATTGGTATTTTAAAAGCCCTAAAGTGAGTTTTCAGGCATAAAAATAAAAAGATGCAAAATTGAGAACTTACAAGAAGAAAGGAAGCCAATCAAGGTAACATGCTCCTTTCTACCAACTTCCTACAGAAACAGCCCTGTCACCTCGTAAATGTGCAGAACTAATCCCTAGATTACCTTGACAGCAGAAATCTACTTAAAAAGAGATTCTAGATTACCTCACTTACTTTGAAACAAAGATACTTGCAGCCTTTGGTTACAGAGCAATAGTTAATTGTGGAAATGATTAATAATGAGGATTTTTAATCTATGTGTAAATTCTTTATGCATAGCTCCCTCCCTTCTCACTATGGGCTGAGCCATGGGAGAGCTCTTCTGGCAGGTAATTTCTTCTTACATGTCAATTCAGTTATGCTGCTGTCAGCAAGTATCCATAAGAAAGAAATCCAAAGCTCCAGAAACACAATGGGTTAGCTGACCTGCTGCTGACAGAGTAGCTTAAATTTCATGTCAGCATATTTGTAGGAGTATATTAGTCCCTTGTCTTTCTTCCAGTTTATAGTATTTCCAAAGTATCATGGAATCCCAGCCAATACATCTCATCCAGACTGTACCAATGAACTACCACACCAACTGAGACAAATAATGGTTCAGTGCCTGCAGTGCAGTTCTGCAGTACGACGTCCAGCACAACAGGACCAGAGTTGCTCCCTTCTTCCTGTTCTGAGGCACCCAGGCTCCCTGGGATTGTGGGAGAAGGACATAAGGTGAGCCTTGACATCTTTACTATGAGAGTGGTGAGGTGCTGGAACAGCTGCCCAGAGAGGCTGTGGATGCCCTGTCCATCCCTGGAGGTGTTCAAAGCCAGGTTGGATGGGGCCCTGGGCAGCCTGGGCTGGTATGAAATGTGGAGGTTGGTGGCCCTGCGTGTGGCAGAGGGTTGGGGCTTCATGATCTTTGAGGTCCCTTCCAACCGAGGCCATTCTGTGATTTCTGTGATTTTAAGTTGTGTTCTTATACCATGCCTATGATCATATATCAGATTATCTTCCAGCAAAGTAGAAAGCCATATGATGTTTACGTCCTACCTCATGGACTAACACTCCTACTTCAAGAGCTAATTCAGAACACACTGAAGTAGATGGAAATGCTATTAGTAGAACAAGTCCAAATGAAAATTGGGATCAGCAAAACACAGATTTTTGCCACAGCTATCTTAAAATAAAAGTCTTTCTGTAACACCATCAAATCCAGGCAAGTAGATGCCTGAATTAAAGCGTTCTGAGGTTTTACAAGAGTAGCATATCTATTTGCTCCCACGTGTACCAGTACAAGTGGAGTCCATGAAAATGAAAAGTCTTTGACCTGCTTTCCAATACGCTCTCCGTGAGATATAGAGTCTCCTTGCGGTAGGGTGCTCTTAAATAAGCGCTGCGAGCATAAATTCTCGTTCTCCCGAGTTGCAATGACGGGGATTAGTCACAAGAGGGAGGCTGGCGGGGCAGCGCCTTCAAGCTCAGCAGATCCCTAACCCGGTAGCTGCTCCCACAGCAGATCAGACCCATTAGCAAGTAGGCTCGTCCGGAAACTTGATGAGCAGGCTCCTGATGTGGATAGAGATAAAAGACATGCTGCACTGTGGAAGTTCTCTACGTGTGGGAGGAAAAGCAGCTCTAATCAGTGATATAAGAAACAGCAGCATTAGTGGAAAAAGATTTCCATGCAGAGAGATGGGACAATAGCGAGGTGTACGATGAAGGGTCTTTTGGCAATAAGGAGAATGAATAATCCCTAATAGGAAGAGGACTGCACTGGGAATGGAGGAGAGGAGAAGAGGAGATGGGAGAGAGACGGAGGAATGATAACATCAACTTTTGTGTGAAGGAAGATTTATTTTTGGTCACAGCAGGGGGTGTCACCATATGCCCACCTCATGACTGAGTTAGTCACTGCTCCTCAGTGCTAATTCTCTAGAGGAGCAGAACTGCTGAGTGAAAGGTGATACTTACAGTGCTTATCTATGGGCACTGTACTGCAGTGGAACTGAACGAGGAAAACATGGGAACAGCGTTCAAAGTTCACTCATTTAAAGCATGAGGGAGATGTAAACAGCCAGTTAATATCGATCCTTATGACAAGTAAAGGCTGCTTCAGCATTGCATTCATTTTCATGGTAATCACTGACAATGTTTAAGACCTCCTGAGTACAAGCTTGAAGTAACAAGCCCACAGCATCCCTCTGAACTGAGGAGCTCAGCAGAAACCATGAAGGCAGATGGAAGGAGCTCTTCCACAGCTTGTGGTTAGACCATGGGACTCAACATGACAGATGTCCACGTTTATGTCAAAGGTTTATATAGCTGCAAGAGGTGATTAGATAAATTTATATGAAAACAATCTACCAAAGCTATTAAACAAAAAGATGCTTGCTTATGGCTGAAAGAATTGCAAGAACCACCTCCCATAACCAAATATGCTTGCCCTGCTGCTCTCTGGCTGCTGGATTATTAGAGACAAGATACTGGCCTGGATGGACTTGCTGCTTGATTCCAACCAGCTGTTCCTCTTTCCTGGTTACAGCTGAAACAGAGATGATTTTCTTCATAGTGTCTGGTATGATGCTATGCTTTTGCCTAAGGAGAAAAACATTGCTAAGAACAAACTGATGTTCTAGTTTTTGCTGAGCAGCACTGTACAGAGCCAAAGACATTTCAATTTTTCAGCTTCTCACATTGTCCTGCCAGCAAGAGGGTTGGGGGGGCACAAGGAACTCGGAGGGGGCAGAACCAGGACAGCTGACCTCAACTGGCCAAGGAGATATTCCATAGCACATGACATCATATGAGGAAACTCTGGTTGGGGGGGAGTTGGCCGAGGGGGCTCCTGCAGCAGGTGGTGAGCAGCTTGTTTTGTATATATGTATGTAATTATTATCATTACTGTCGTACCTCTCTTCCTTTTCTGTCCTAGTAAGTAGTTTTTACCTCAACCTACAAGTTCTACCTTTTCTCTTCCGATTCTCTCCCCCATCCCACTGGTGAGCAGAAGGCTGCATGGTGTTCAGCTGCTGGTGGGGTTAAACCACAACAGCCTCTCAACCAGGAAGCTGCACCTCTGCAGCTGCACCTCTCACTCAGCAGCCTCTGGATGTAGCCTCCCACCTGCAATACCTACTTCACTGGAAGATCTGCGTGAGGCAAAATCTCTCAGGAACAGTAATTCATTGAAAATAAAGTACTGTTTATCCTTAGAAATGAAAAATCAGAACGACTGGAATGACCAGGTGTGCTCATCCCTATGCCATACTTTGGTTATACCATAAACCTGGAATGACACCACTAACAGCTCTGCAATCTGAGAAGCAGGCTTTCACCCACATTCATTCTGCAGCATCCCTCTCTGGAACTCAGAGCTTCACATTTGTACCTATTTAAGCAGAATTAGTTCCATGATTTGTTTGCGTTCCCACCAGCCCCACCCCAGATCCAAGGCTCAGTTCAGACAAGGACACTATTTCAGAGACACAAACTGCTGCCCTGCTGGTAAAGAATCAAGAATTACAGCCCCCATAGCACATGAACAACAGTGGTTCTGTAAAAGGAGAAGGCAGCACTCAAAAATTACTTTTTTTCGAGGTATTTCTCTCAAACCAAATGTATTCACAGTAAAATGTGCTTCCATACTGAAAGCAGTAAAGACAATTCATAAAAACATTTACAATAAAAAGTTAAAAAAAAAATCTAAAATAGATTTTAAAAAAATAGAAGTGCAACTTTCAGCTTAGTTTTAACTTCACTGCTATGTCTCCCTCTGGATTAAACCCAGGACTTTGGCCTGGCAATAGTGGCCCCTAATGTTTTTTAGCATCCCTGTTTTAGTCATTAATTCATACAGCAAACTTCACTGACGGGAAACTTGGAAGCATCTAAACGAGGTGAAGTCTCCTTACTCGTCACTTGCAGCAAGTTTCAATGAGAGCTTCCAAAGAAATCAAATCCCAGCTAAACCAGGTGTCTTCAATAAAAGACACAATGTGGGAGACACATTTCTGCCCCAGTTGGTCAAACTGTTCCTTTCCATGCTATTCCTATTACTTTTCAATGTTCCTGCTTCCCTGCCTTGGGAATCTGCAGCAGCTCCTCTGTGCAGACTGTCCACTAAACCAAGAACATTCAGGAATGCATTTTATCATTTTGTTCATGCAGGACCATAGAATTTGCATTTTCTTTCTCCCAGGACTTGCAGAATTGTCAACTTAGTACAAATGGTTTGCCTTTGAAGGCACTCTTCATGTGAGACAAGGTTCTGGCAGAAAGCAGCCTCGCTACTTGCCAGCTCACCTTCTGGTAGCAATAATTGCTGGGCTGCCAGAGCATTAGAAGTTACAGGGCTAAAATGGTCTGCAGCTCCAGCAGCGCTCCACAGAGATTCCTGGCAGTTTGGCCGTGTTCCTTCTCAGAGACAGCTTAGAAAAAATGGCATTTTACTTTAAGTTAAAAAATGCAAAAGTATTTAAAATAGAATTGTCATTTCCTGAGGATCTGCATGTAGCTAGGTACAGAAGTACTGGCTGAGTGGAATATAAATAGCAAAAATAAACGTTGCCTGAACAACGTGAAAGGCTTCCTAATCCATGGATCTTCAGGTGGCTGAATCTCCCAGGGAAACCTCCAAAGACGTCGTCACAGGAGCAAAACTGCAGCTACCCCATGGGGCATTATCACCCGCTCTACTGGGTGTGATCCTGCTTGCACGATGGGGATGGGTATCCAAAGTCTTAACTGTGCAGAGTAATTCCACTTCCTGGCTGCCATCATGAACACTGGGGGCGGCCACCACTTCTCACTCTACACGTTGCTGAACAGCTTCCCAAACACTGAAGGCAGAGAGGGCTGAACCACAAGCGTTAGCTGGCAGAAGCATAGACTACAGAGGCTCATAATTTCTACTGAAGAAAGGAAATAGACCTTTGCCACTAACGCACAGCTCTCTGCCTTCTGACTGAAAAAAAAAAAAAAAAAGCCCTCTGTCTGCAGGAAATGCAGCAGCAGGTGTACCAGCAAACCTCCTCCCAGCCCTGCAGTGGCTCCCCCCAGTCTGCTTTTACGTAGAGTTTTCCGTGCTTTATGAGCACAGAAGCTTGCTAATGCTGTTCTGAGCAGGCCTTGATGATAATTTAATTTGTGCTGAATATACTTTCCTAGACAGCAGAACACCGCAAGCAGCAAAGCACAGGCAAGATTAAACTCCATTCTATCTTTTTAATCAGAAAGAAGGCAGTATTCATTTTTTATCTTACTCTGAAGATATGACATGACATCCTGGAGGAAAAGCTGTCTTTACTGATTACTGCACAGCTGCACAAAATCTTGAGCAAGTCTAGTCCAGATTGATCCCAGCTGCCTTTGATACTTGTGTAAGATAGAGACATTTTGGATTTCGTTACGTCATATACCTTTATGTGCAAGAGAAAGGTGTAGTCACAGTGCTCCTCAGAGCTGGAGTGAGCTGAGCCAACCCCTTCCACCGACTCTGGCATGAAAGCAGCCCAGAGTTAGCGATTTAATTCAATGTCATGCCTATAATCATGTGGGATAAATCTGGACCCTAATGCCTTTGCATTACTCAGCTATCTTGCAGTGAACTGCATAAGCTTCCTACCTTCAGGCTCAGAACGTGGAGGACGAGCAGGATGTGCATCTTCCTAGTCCTGTCTGGGCACCTCTGTGCTCTGCACAGGGCTCTCCCAGGGCCTCTGAGGGCTGCTGGGGCAGCTCTCAGGTTCCTCCAGATGCTCTGAGGCTTTTCCCAGGCTCTCCAGGGTTGTCCAGGTGCCTCTGGGGCCACTCCAAATGC